ATCCGTATGCAACTGCACGTGTCCTCGACCCCACCATAGTGGACACTCACCACAACACACGACACACACGAGTGAAGTCTTGTGTGCGCTGGGTCTTTGGAAAGAAGCTCAGGCAGGAGAGGCAGTGTGGGGGCAGGTGTTCATCAGCAAGGCCGAGGGTCCATGTCTGTCGGGCGTGGACAGAAGACGGTGCAAGGTAGCCTCAGGTGGCCCCGGGGGACTCTGGGCTAGCTTGTCTCAGCAGAGCTGTCCCAGGGGCCCAAATGGCCACAACTGCACAGACCAACCCCATCTCGATAGGGCCCCCTCCCAGCGTCCATCAGAAGACCCGTTGTATGCCATAAAGCTGCCAGGCGCTTAAACTCCTCACTGGACGAATTCAGGGTCCTGAAAAGGCTTTGCAAGCTGTAAAATATTCTGCAAATGCAAGTTGTATTCCAGAGTGCCCATGAACACCACTGCACGCATCTAGCCCACCGAAGTAAACTAAACCGTTTGTGTGCGTGAGTGACGCCCTGTGCATTCACATACTGTTCCGGGATTTGTTATAAAGCCCTTTGCTGGCTGGTCTGCCCAGCGGGCAGAGGTGCAGCCAGCGGGCTGCTAGGGGCATCATTTCTCCCCTGGCTAGTTTCCAAAGGCTGAGAATGGGGACAGAGGAAGACTGTGACACCCACGGATTCTGAAGTCATTCTTGGTGATGTGGATAAGTGGTCTACCTTTGCTTTCTCTCCTGTGGAGCCTCCAAGAATCACGGGTGGCCTGAGGCATTGGTTGAGACCCACGAAGCGTCCCACCCTGTGGAGTCTCAGGGACGATCTGGGCTGTGGCTGGCGCCCCTCCTCCAGGCCACTCACCCCTCAGGGGACCACGTGAAAGAGGTAAAGCCTGCTCCGCCGGTTAGGCTGGCTGCTCAGGGGGCAGGAGGACAGGTCCTCACGGCCAAAGTCCAAGTCCCACTGAGAAAGCACCTGCGGGGCTGCAGAGGCGGCCCTCTGCGCTGGCTCGGGAACCTGCCTCCCCCATCCCTGTCCCTGTCCCTGTCCTTGTCTGTCCTGGCATCCACCCACCCTGGCCGCTCCCAGAGGGGCCAGCAGGGGTCAGGCTCTGAGCAGCGCAGGCAAAGAGACCTCTCCCTGTGAACTGGATCGCTCGGCTCTTACAAAGACCTGAGTGGAAGCGGGTCAGGGCCAGGGTCCAGACCCACGGGATGGGGGCCCCGGGGGAGGTCGGAGGCTGGAAAGAGGGGGGACGCCGCTTCTGCACACTGTGGACTGACCAGGGAGATTCCGAGATCAACTCGGTTCATAAGGGAAAGTCATGTTTGTGGCAAGAGGAGTATCAGAAGTACAAGAAGATCTGAGAGAAAAGGCCAATGACACCTGTTTCACAGAGTCTCGCACACACACGCACTCACACGTGGGCACACACACACAGAGTCCTGGGGCAACGTGACAAAAGAACCCAGGCACCCCCCCCAGCCGCTGCCTGTGGACCACGTGCTTGTGGATGATGATGTCCAGAAGCAGGGACTCCAAACAGAAAGCACTCTGGCCGCGCAGCCCAGCCCTAGCCAGTGGGAAAGCCTGTGGGAGACATGCCTTCGTGCACAGGAACAAAGCTCTGGAGGGACACTGAGGAAAACCTCACGGCAGGACATTCTGGAATGGGGATCTTACTGACTCGAAGAACAGAGCGTCCTAGCGTGAGCAAGCGGCTGAATGTTTTGATTGCAGAAAAAGTCGATTAAAATGGCTCTTTGAGCCCTGCTCTGCTTTGACCCCACAATGCTTTTCTGTGAAGTAATCTCCTCTGTCCGTCCTGGGAGGTCAGCCTCACCCCTGAGTCGGGCGGGGCCTGCTCAGATCCTTGGATCCTTGTGTGCTTAGCTCTCTTCCTTCTGGCTGGATTTTCCTGCTGTTGACATGATCGCATGAGGATCAAAGAAGCAAGAAGAGGGAGGGGGGAGGTAGTGGGGAGGGGCTTTACCGGGCAGCTCATGTCCCTAAATTGGGACAGATGCCCGGTGGGACAGCACACTGGCTGCTGTGTCAGTTTGCCCACCTGGGCGCCCTTGATGGGCAGAAATCTCACTGGCATCCCAGGGATGTGTCCAGAAGTCATGCTGCACCAGGTGCCATCAGGACGAGAGGAGACGCAGCTCTTGAGGGTCCCCAAGAATCTCTAGGTGCACGAAATGTGACCACCGCTCCCTGCGCCTTGGGTGCAGGTGATACGCCTCGTCCCATGGAAGTCACTTTCCTGCTGGCACAACCCACTGGGCCAGGACTCAAACTCAGCAGACGCTTTCTCGGTATCTGCTGGCTCCTGTGTTTTCCTTCCTGTTCACTCCCTGAAAGCCTGAGGCCTCTGCTCTGCCTGAGTTGGGGAGGCAGGGACGCAGCCCGGCTACTCACAAGCACTGAGCGCTCACAGCACTGGATTCCAAAGGGCTGTGTCACCCTCGAGGTTTAGAGAAATTCATGATGTCATTTGATTTGCGCTGTGCAGAAAAAAATAGTGCCGAACACTGGCTCTTTATTTTTATGAATGAGGAAGAGTTGTTTATGCACAAGATACATTTTTCACTCATTGTTCCACTGTTTAATGACAGTCATGGAAAACTGAGTCATTCAGGGACCTGAAAGGCTGCACGGGCGTCAAGTCTTGTGACTCATGGCTTTGGTAAAGAACGCTTAGCTAAAAAAATAGCTCCTGGAAACGTCCCCAGCTGGGTGGCACGTGGGCTGAGAGCAGCACTTGGTCAGCCAGTGCACCCCGGGGGGCAGTGGCCGCGGCCCCCAGCCGTGGGACGGTGAATTCAGACATGTGCAGGACGTGCTGAGCCTGAGGTCGGGATGCGCGGGGCCTCCAGCTGGATGCCGCCCGGGGTCTGTGGCCACAGCCCTGGAAAAGCGTTCTTTCTTCTTCTGGGTTAATTTTGTAAAACTACAAAATAATAAGCAAGTGGCCTTCAAAAGAGCGCTTTGTAATGAAACATCAAGTATGAGCCCTGGGCCCTCCTGCTGTATCCAAATGCCATCATTTTTTTTTTCTTTGAAGGGAAGATTGATTATATGCATCCTGGGGTGTGTGGGCGGATGAGAGGGAGAGAGCACATCATGTGTAAACAGCCAACAATTGAGAACACGGCAGGGCTGACTTCAGCTAATGAGAGCACGGGGAGCTGCTTCCTTGGCAGAGTTCCCTTCCCACCAGCGCCCAGTTTCCCCGTGTGCATGAGGAACACCAACACCAGTTCCATCTTGCTAAAGGCGTCCAGCACAAGAGTGCTTCTGTGGTCAAAGAAGTTGGGAAAATGTTGAGTTAGAAAAAATGGGTTCAAAGGTCTTTGTTGCAATACCCCTCGAACTCCGAGCGGGCCGATGCGCGCTGGGATCCTTCAGTGGGACACGCTCAGCCGTGTTTTCCAGAGTTGTTTCATCAGGGAAGCTGCTGGCTGCCCGGCGTAGCTCTGTCTCCCAGGCCTGTGTCGCTGGAAGACGCTGTCTCAGGCTTCTCTCTAGTGGACGGCAGGGTCACGAGGACTTGGCTGGGCTCACGACACCTGAGGAAACACAGTGGTTCACGGGCACCTGCTTTCTCTGGAGCAGGGACGATGTCCATCCCAAGGCCGCAAGCCAGTTTCCAGGAGAAGGAAACTGCTCCTAACTGGGAAAGGGAAACACCAGCATTGCTTATCCCAAACGAACAGAGAATTTGGAAAAGCAGAATCTCACTCTGGCTCTCTTAAAATGCTTCCTTCCTTCCCAGAAAGAAGAACGTCATATCGACCGGTTTGAAGTCCCCTTCTGACCTTGGAAAGACGAGCGCGGGTCTGAGAATCTCGCTCTGCCCCCGCCTGCTTCAGTGATAACGCCATTGTACATCACTGCGTCCAAGGACCACCACATACCCATCACCCTGGTTTCTGCCCCCTCCTCCCGGTGGAAGGTTTGGGCCGAAGGTTGGCTCTCCTCCAAGCCATCGCACAGTGCCATCTGCTGGCCCACAGTATCCCCACCACAAGGTAACCCTCAGCCGTCGTGGCACAGACCGTGGTTCCCACTGACATTTTTAGAATGCGGCCCCAGGCCTCTGCGCGTGTCTGCATAGGTCGGAGGGTAACCCTCATCCACAATTGTGCAAGTGGGGAGGTTCTATGACTCGCTCACCCAAGGTCAGAGCTGGAGACCCAGCTGTCTGGAGTGTTCTCCATTTCGACTTCATGCTCTCTCACTGCTTCCAGAACAAAACGCCAAGGGGCTCTTTGCCATCCTGTGTCGTTCCCATCTCGGAATGCCCCATCTCAGGGCTCACCAACGGAGTGTGGGGCTTCCTGACCCAGGAGCCCTCCAAGCCTCTGCATGCCATGAGAGGACCTCCAGGGAGCTGGGAGGGAGCTGGTGGCCAGCTGGACCCCAGGCCTGAGCGGGCAGAAGAAAAACGCATACAGGTACCAGCAGGCGTCCCTGGGCAGGACAACTGGCCCACACTGGCATGCAAGTGGTCATTTGGAACAGGGCTCAGTGTGTGGTATGTATATGTGTTCATGTGTGTGGTGTGTTTGGTGGATGTACGTATGTGACATATGTGTGTGATGTGTACATATGTATGTGGTGTGCGTGTGTAACCCCCTTTAAAACAGGAGGAATGAGGGGCTCTGGAATTCTTTCCTCGGCCCCCAATGCTGTGTAAGCTGTCTTCACAGAGAAAGGCAGAGCTCACAACCCACGACCCTGCTCTGGCCCCTTTCGGGATTTCTGGGTCTGGTCAGCTCGCCTGCCATTAGGGGAGGCCGTGGGCTGCCAGGCTCTCGGTGGGCACACCCCTGCCTGTGAACAGAGGCCCGGGGCCAGCCGGGCCCTCACTGACAGCCTTTCTCTTCCGCCTACAGCAGGAGCTCACGGCCCTGCGCCAAGGGCCTGCACACATCAGCCTTTTTAGGGCATAGCTAGGGACTCAACATTTCTTTTAAAAACACATTGTGCATTTGACAGTGCTGTTGAATACCGTTTATTTGACAGTGCAACTTATCAAATTCTAATAACACCCATGAAAATCATCACAAAGCTAATTTTAAAATTTTATTAAAAATCACAGTTTTAAAAAAAAAGTACAGTGACCAAAGGTAGCTCCTCAGAGATGGATGGAGAACACTGCTTCACTGGTCCAGAGTGCTCTTTGTGGGGCTGGGGTCCTGAAAAACTGGCGTCACCCCTGCCTCTGAAGATCCAGGTGGGGTGCAGTCATTGGGCTGCTGTGAAGAAGAATTCACCGTCCAACAAATGAAAACAAGGCTGGTGACAGCAAGTGCGGAGGAAGGACATGCTCAAAGGAAAAACACACCTAATTATTTTACGACTAAGGGATTACGACTCTGCTACAGAAACCTTCAGGATCGCTGGGGGACACAGTGTTTGCGGCATCGGCCATCAGCTGGTGCTGGCCAGGGCTGTCTGTTTGTCCATGATGCCCTTTTGTTCCCGCTAAACAAGGAAAGAGGTGATGCCCATGGGGTGAGCCCAGGCCCAGGTGAAGACATGGGTAGAGCCATCAGAAGGGCTCATTATACTGACTTCCAAGGGCCACAGCAAAACTGGTATCCATGGGCCGATGGCTGCACAAGGTCAAACTTTACTCAGGGATTAACTCACGCTAGGGGTCTAGAAGAGAACCCTTGGGGCTTATGTCTTCAACCCAATGTCACACTCAGGGAGGCCCACTGGTGGCGAGAGTCAGGGTCTGTGGTTTTATTATGAATTCATACTTTCTTTAGAAACTCATCTTTAGATGGCCTTGGCCACCAGGTTGCCCCCCCTACTACAAATACAGAAAAAGTAGGGGAATTCTGGTCGCACTCTCCCTCTGGGGGAGACGCCACAGAGACGACAGCCCACAGCACCCTGCCTCTGTCCCCATCAGCCCTGAGAGGACGGACGTCCTCCCCCGCTGGGTCTCCATTCAGGTGGTATCTTCAGCGAGCCTGGGACAGAAGCTCCCAGTGGGAAAGTAAGCCCAACAACTCATCCCAGCAGGGCCCACTTTTCACGGGACGTGAGTCTTCAGTCTCAGAACACAGAGCAAAAGCAGAATCCAGCCCTTTTCCCCCTTACTGGCTACTACTTAGAAACCGCACTGGTCCAGCTTGATCTTTTCAAGCCTCGAGGCACTTGTACGGTCAGGAAAGCTTCTCAGCGGCAGGGCGCAGTGTAAGTACGGCCTGTTGGAGCCTCTTCTGGGGCCGCCAAGCGCCTCCTCCTCTCCCAGCCTTCCCTCCACTGCAGGCTCCCACGCCAACTGCGCCCGCTGGCCGCTGAAGACCCCTGGAGGGACGAGAGCCCTGACACCACAGGGCACTGCCGCCAGGCTGCTGTGTATTCGAATGTAGCCCAAGAGCCAGAGGACCGGGAAGAAAGGGAACTTGGACACATCCTGAAAATAACCTGCCATGAAAACCACACAGACAAAAACACAAGGGAATGCACAGGTCCTTTGACCTTGCCGGCCGTCTGTCTGTCTTCCAAGGCTCTCCTGGGACCGTGTGCTCCGGGTGGAGCGCGTGTTCCCGGATGGGCTTTGGGGAACAACAGTCAGGGCACGTCCCACAGGAGGCTGGCCCTCCCGGCAGGCAGAGGGTGAGGGAGCCTCAGAGTCAACGCACTGGAGTGCGCTTCCCTGTGGCTGCTCCTCCGCTCCGAGGCAGCCTCCGACGGCGCGGGAGCCTCAGTTCACCACGTCATAGTAGTAATTGCGCAGCCGCAGCTCCACCGCCACGAATCCCGGCCTGTTCTCCACCCTGAAAAGGGAAGATATGCATGACTGTTTGTCATCGGCCTCTGAAAAAGCGCGGCTCACACCGCAGCCTTTGCAGGTCGAGCGTGCAGGCTGCGCCCCCTGGTGGCCCCCTCCAGAGTTGGGGCTCACAGCGCGTCCCCAAGCCCTGCACCGGGTGACCAGAGGCCTGGGTGAGAACAGTGGCCGGCCTGCCCCAGACCTCCAGAACCCAGTCTACACTCAACAGGCTCGCCAGGTGACTCAAGTCCCCCCTAAAGATGGAGACATCGTGCGCTCCACATCGGGATGCATCATCCCCAGGTTCAGAGACCGTCTCCTCGTGATTCAGCAAAACAGAACGTGTCCGAAAACACTTAGTTGGGCAACGTGCTGCAGACATATACTTAAGGTTTGACTCATAACCTCAAGAAAAACAATACGGGCACAATTTAAACTTTCCCCTCCCACCCCCCCATCGGATGGCTCTGGATTTCCCGAACTCGTGCCATTGATATGGGTTCCTATGAAAACTCAGAACTTGCCAGGGCAGAAACAAGGACGCAGGCGCTGTCTCCTACAAATCTTAACACGGCCTCACTCCTGTGTCACTGTTGGCGGGTGAGGCAATGATGTAAGTAAATGATGGGTGCAGGTTTTCAACAATTTGCAATCTCTACACAAACTTTTACAGACATCTCTGCCTTCTCTAACACGGCATCCTGAATAGGATCAGATGGAAACAAGTATTTCTTAAAAACACGAGAATCTGTCCTCACTTAGAAGTTATTTTTCCTATTTTGCAAGATTTGGGGCTCTAGTGCAAGTGGATAAAATTGCCCAATAAGTGAAATAGAACCTGAGGTTAAACTGGGTGAACTGCCCACATTCGCTTGGACCGACAGCAGCTGCAGTTTCTCGGATGGAGCAGCCAGGGAGCATGCTCGAGGACCGATCGCTCACCATTATAAGGGCAGAGAGGTTTCTACGGAACCAAAATGGACTGTTTTGTCGAGTGGCATCAGCATAATGGGGTACCTACAGCTTTCAAGAGCAAGCAAAACCATGATAAAACTGCTTGAAAATATGAGCCATCTGAGGTCACAGCTGGGGGTCCAGGCCTCCTTGGGCCTCACTGTAGAGACCGTGTCTCTGGCCACCAGAGGGGCAGCCTCATGCTGCTCCTAAACTTCTACAGCCAAAGAGAACACAACCTCATCATATTTGCCAAACAGGGCGTTCTGCTCCAAGGGTGGCATCCAAATGCACCAAGAGCCCCTTTGAGTCTTGCTGTGAGGGCTTCATCCACCCTGCAGCCAAGCACCAAACAAACTAACAGAAAGAAACAGGAACACGGACGGGCCTCGGCAAAGTCCCCTGGTCAGGCTTCCCAGGGAACCCTCCACACTATGGGTGAGGTTGCCTCCAGGAAGCCAGGACGATGCTGAGCGTCGGCGGAGGAGTGTGCCCAAGCATCTAGGGCACGCGCTGGCTTCCGGTCCACCCCTGGCCTTCCTGTGCTGCCTCTCCAGCCCGGGGTGCTTTTCCGGCTCTTGCCCTCATGCCCAGAGGCCCCCTTCCTCTCCTCTCGTTTCCCGCACCCCGGCTCCTCATCGTGCAGTTCTCAGGTAGAACGCTGCTTCCTAAAGAGGCTGGGATGAACCCCCTAACGGAAGTATGACCCCCCCAAAATCTCTACTCTTGTTCAAAACTCCCCACAGTTTGCTTTGTAGCACCCATCACAATAGGTACTCAGCTGTTTACATGGGGGTTAATTTGTCTCATGTCTTTGAGCAACACCCAGCCCCCAGCCCAGACCAGAACTGGAACTTCCATGAGGAAAGTGTCAACTAGTGCTATCACCATGCTCCGTACGTGGAGGGCAGTCAACAGAGTGTCAGTGATAAATCTAAGTGTGTATGGTATGTCTGTCTGTCTAAATATCTATCCATCCATCAATCCATCCATCATGTATTGATTGTTCAATCTATGACCTATCAATCCAGCATCTATCTAGCCATTTATATATCCCTATCTATCTATCACCTTGCTGAAGGCGTCTGACTGTTGACAATGGAGAAAACGATGGGAAAAAAACTAGCCTCAAAACGGATGGAAAATATACAGGGATCATTTATAATCACTTCATTGAATCCGCCAGATTCTGGAGGCTCCATCTGCTCCCACGCCCCAGGCAAATGTTTCATTTCCTTCTGCGGAGAAACTACCCCAGCACGAGAGGTCTTCATGCACATGTGCGCCCTCCCCGCCTGGGCCCTCCTCGGCTCTCAGTGGCTGCTGGACTCGTCACTTCTGAGGACACGCTATGGAACACACTTATTTTCTTAGCTTGTTGTTTACTGCCTGCCCGCCCTCCCCTGGCCTGCAGGCTCTCACAGGGCAGGGCTGGGGCTTCCGTGAGCTTTGTGAACCCCCACCCCAGGCACTGGGACAGTGGCCTGACACAGCAGGCTTGGGTGGTGAGTGCAGCCACGTGAAGGTCCTTAGAGGGTGGGGAAAGGACCAGGTGCTGGGGCCGGTGGGGAGCCTGGGCCTCGCAATACCCTGCTGGGCCTTGGGCTTACTGATCTTCAAATAGCATTTGAGCTCCGTCCAGATCATTCCTGACCCAGAGAATCCCGAATGGCCCAGATTTTCCTCGGTTAGGCAGAAGCCTCGTTTTTCAGGAGGAAGAGTCCCAACTTTTCCCAATTTGCATGGGGTTTTCCCAGAGGCTTCTCTAATTATTGGGACAGGATGTGAATTGACTCTGGAACACACTTATGAATGAAGTCCCCTCCCGCCCCCGCTGCTGGTACCTGTTTTTCTCGGGGCCAGTGTTTCCTTCCTGTCTTTGGCGATGCACCCCCACCCCATTCAACCTCTACAGGTACTGCTCTGGGTGTCTTGTGTCCTCTTCAAAAAACGAGAGGGCCAGGGGTGACATCCGCCTCCTCAGGGTTCCGTCATGGGCACCGAAAGTCCCCCCAGGACATGTCTGGAGCTGATGAAAGGCGAGGTACGTGGAGACCCTGGCTGCCCTGGATGGGCGTCTTCCCTTCAGTCTCGGGCAGGTGGCTCGTGCCGACCAGCTCCTGGCGCCCGTGAGTCCTCCTGGTTGGCTCGCCCGGGGAAACGCTGCTGAGGCCGTTTTCACTCAGCGGCACATCATGTGACTACTGATGTTCAGACAAAGTCTCTGCACACCTCCCACCCCAATCCCCACTGCAGGTCACTACTAGGAAAACTTGAACCTTCAGAAATACAGCTGTGTTGGAAAAAAATCAAAGTTTGATAAAGGGTCACCATTTCTAATTTTAGGCATGGGCTGCCGTCACTATTTCTACTCGACTGACACTTGAAGCCTGTGGCTGATTCCTACATATTGACTTGGAACTCACCAGAAAGCATTCCTGGGGTTGGAAGCGATGGGAAAGACATCCCAGCCCATCCTCACTCGGATCGTGACTTAAATCTCCAGATGGGAGAATACCTCGGAAACAACGTTCTCTTACGGAAGAGTGCTCTCCTTAGCTACGACTCCAGTGAGTACCGAAAACTGTCTTCCCTTCACATCCTCCTCCCCTCGGGGACCATGCCGGCAACAAGAGCACAGAGAGCTGTGCGTGTCCTCAAGGATGGAGGCGGCAGCAGACCTGGTCCTGGTTTCCTAAGGCACGAGGGCATTCAGCACGCCCACTGCGCCCCCCCGCCCAGCAGGGGTGTGCCCTGGCTGCATCACCCCGTCCACCACCGTTACCCCGCCAGGCACATCCCTTGAGCACCCATCCCCACCCAAAGCCCCTCCCCTGCCCACCCTCCCAGTCCTCACTGGTAAACACCCCCACAAAGAACAACCGACAGAAATAAATATGTCAGTATCAATGTTAAATGCAAACACACTAACTTTACCTCCCTGAGAGTTCACTGGAATTCCAGGTGTTTTCATTTGTTTCAGAATGATTTAAAGTTCTTTTTTCCCTGAGAAAGTGAAATCTTCCAAAGGAAGCCGCAGGCAGGATGGGAGGACATGTCTAGCAAATGCTCACAGACCCACCCCCCAGGGCTGCCCTGCTGTGGCTTCGCACTGCCACTAGGGTCACCTGACCCAGCGTCCCTCTAAAGAAGGAGAGGTCAGTTAGATGGGAGGCTGGCAATGAAGGGCACTGAGGAAGACGCCGTGAGCTCAGGCCTGGGGGCCTGTTCTGCCCCCCGTGACTCCCCACAGCCCACCAGTCTCCAAAACTGGCGGGGTGCAGGTGCACGGTGCCTACGAAAAGCCAGGAGAAGCCTGTGATGTTCCCAGCGGCTTTCTAGGTCGCTTGTGCTGCTTGGAAAAGCCCGCCGGGCTGTGCTCATTCACGGGATTCTTGGAAAGTGTCAGCAGGAGCTCCCTGCATCCCTCTCCGTCCTCTGGGCGCCACGAAGTGAGGCAGCTGGGACTAGACTCAGCACAGGTGCGCGGAGACCCAATAGTGAGGTCTGTAACATCGCCCCGGGGGGGATTCGTCTTCTGTTTCCTGTCTATTCCGTGTCCCCCTTAATTTCTAGCCTAGACTTTCAATTCCAATTTCAAAAATGGCTGGTTACCTGTCAAAGGTTCTAACGATTCTAGTTTGGGCATGGGGAGAATTCAGTCAAGACTTCAAAGAATGGACAAAGATTGGCCCCCCAATCTATTCCTAGCATTCCTCTGTTGTGGACACTCTGACGTCCCTTTAGCACTAACGACCAGGGTTACAGAAGCTCCCCTACAGGGCTTTTCCCTGCTCAGTGTCAGCAGCAGCAGACAGGGAACCACCTGCCCTCTCCCTTTGGGGCTGACCGCTGGGTCACTTCTAGATAACAATGAGATTCTTTACTTCCACTCGCATTGTGGAGGTGGGGAACACTCCCGGGACGCTGGAGAATCCCAGGTGGCATCTGAAAGCACTTGGAACATCCCCCATCCTTCAGATGCTCCTGCAACCTCAGCCGTCGTATCTGAGAGTAAACTGAGTCCTCAAAGTAGAAAATCTGTGGCAAGTATAGGAGCTCCTCCCCGTCCCAGGCCCGCCTGGTCGCTGAGCTGCCAGGGCTCCATGAGCACGCTTCTGTGCCAGCGGTACAGGCACTGGGGCTTAGGGTTTCCCCTTGAAGCCCTTACAGGCTGCTGAGCCCGGGCAAGGTCAGAGGCCACTTCATGAAATCTCAGGTGCGATGCTTCCCCAAGTCTCAGATGTGACGCATTTCCCTTGCCAGCTGAGCTGCCCTGAACATCCCCCGACTACAACATCACGTGTGCTCCGCCAGGCAGGACATGCGATGGCACTCAGGGCCGACTCCGAGGGCCACTGTTCCAAGGTCCGAGTCGCCTCTCGGGAAGTGCTACCTTAGCCAATCCATCTGTGAGCTGGCCAATTTGGTGGCCACACTCACTATGAAAGGGGATCCAAAATTCGAAAAGCATAACATTCCTGTGCTGGGTACCGCGGCCATCCTCTATCGCCAAAAATGGCACACAGCACCAGACCAGACTCTTATCAACATCTTTTCACTGTGACCACCCCTCCACCCCCAAGCTGGTATTATCCACACTTAAATTTTGATATACTGGATTAGAGTAACTGTCTAAACTTCTTCTTCTTCTTTTTTTGGTGAGGAAGACTGGCCCTGAGCTAACATGCATGCCCATTTTCCTCTATTTTGCACGTGGGATGCCACCACAGCATGGCTTGACAAGCGTTGTGTAGGTCCACATCCAGGATCTGAACCTGTGAACCCCAGGCTACCAAAGTGGAGCGAGCAGACTTAACCACCACGCCACTGGGCCAGCCCCTAAACTTATTCTTTAGACTAAAGAATACAGGCACACGGTCCAGGAGGCACGATATCTCCCCCATTATTTGCTTAGAACGGAACACATCCCTGATTCATGAAAAGACAGAATTTATGCCTCTTCTTAGTGCCCAGCCACTCCATCTGCCTCCAGAGCGTTTGGATAAACCGCAGGAAGTGTTGGGTACTCACTCATAGGTCCAGCACAGCTTCATCAGCTCATACATCTCTCTGGGACACCCCGCGGGGCAGCCCATCCTCTCTCCTTTCTCCAGCATTGCGGAAACTTCACTCCCTTTCATTCCCTAAAACATGCAAAATACGCCCGAACCTTTAAACAGAGCGTTCAGCAAAACAACAAATAAATCTCCCCCCCAAAAAACGAGAGTGCACACTGTATGATTTCAGTTATATAAAGTACAAAAACAGGGGCACCTAATAGGATGCTAGAAGTCAGACGGGGTCACCCCTGGGGAAAGGCTGGTGCTTGCAGGGAGATGGGGGCTTCTGGGCTCCTGAAATTTCTTCCTGTGGGGGCTGGGTCTGTGGGTCCGTCCTGTTTGTGAAAATCCATCAAGCTGTACCCTAGGGTTTGTGCACTTTTTCATATGTATATTTTGATTAAAAAAATGTAACTGAGCTGCAAATTTGATACCGGAAACAGTCATTATTTCTATTTCAACTCTAATTAATATGATTGATTTGGGTATATATTTTATGCATATTTATATGTGTAACACACAATGAAAAAATACACATTGTTCGATTAGCATCAAACATTTCTTTTCCAGTTTAGAATAAACTGAGGTCACGTTAACTGCCTCAGAAAGACTCGGTGAGGGTGTCCGGATTTTATGATTTTCAGGGTCCTGTAAAGATCATCTGATGCTTATCTGTTCTGATGGCCACGTTAGGAAAAGAAACAGTAGCCGCTCACCCGGTACGGCTTCTGCCCATAGGAAAAGGCTTCCCACATCAACACGCCGAAGCTCCAGACGTCACTCTTGCTGGAGAACTTGTAGTAGTTGATGCATTCTGGAGCATACCACTTCACGGGCCACTTCCCGTGGGTCTGGGCCTGAAAACAAAGAGAATGGAGATGTTCCATTAAGAGTAAGACTGTGCACACCCATGCTCATAGCAGCACTATTCACAACAGCAGAAGGTGGAAGCAGCCCAAGTGCCCAGGGGTGGATGAACGGAGACACAAAATGAGGTCTACACACACAGTGGAATGCAGCCTGAAGGAGGAAAGGAATCCTGGCACTCGCTATCACACAGATGAACCAGGAGGTGACCTTTCATTATGCTGAATGAAACAAGCCAGCCAAGTCACTAAAGGACCAACAGTGTATGATTCCACGCATCTGAGACCCAATTCACAGAGGCAGAAAGGAGATGGCGGTTGCCAGGGGCCGCAGGGGGAACGCAGAATGGGGAGCAGTTGCTTAATGCTGATAGAGTTTCAGTTTGGGAGAGTCAAAGAATTCTGGAGATCAACTGGAAACAAGGTGAAGGTACTTAACATTACTGAACTGCGCACTCACAAATGGTTAAGGTGGTAAAACTGATGTTACGTGTGTTTTACCACAATTTTAAAAAACAGAATAAAATCACGACTCACAAAATGCCGTGTGTGTGTGCATGTATGTATTCGGTCTGAATCTTTAAAATATGTATTTAAATCTTAAGATTTTAAGATTTAATTGTATTTTAAAGATTCAGACCGAATTTCTTGTGTTTTTTAGTCTGTCTCTCTCACCTCTTCCTTTGGCTGCTCGAAGCTGCACGGAGCTTGTCGCGACGAAGCAAGAGTCAAGCCTGGCTATTACTTCATGGTTACGCTCCAAGAAACACTGAGCTGTCCTAAGTATATTTAACCATTTCTGTGTATTTGTCTACACTTTCAAGCCAATGCTAATTGTTTTGACATACACTGTTTGCTAGTATCATTTGAAAAAGTGTTAAAACTTTGTAATTTAAAATAGCAGTGGTAGTATAGTGATCAAACGGTGCCTAGCAAAACCTCTTCCTTTGGGCTTGGGGTTCGGCGCGGTGTGGGTATGTCTTGCCGCCTCCGGTGACTGTCACTCTAACCTAGGCGCAGGGAGCTGAGCGGTCCTAGGCTGGGCAAGTGGGGGACAGCAATCTGAGACCAGACATGCATGACACGTCCCTAAATGACACACTGATTATACCTAATTATCCTTCTGTCTCAGTCATGTGACACATTGTTTTTAGATTTTTATTTCAAAAGTTGTGAACAACACAATCATGTGTGCTATTTCAAATTTAATCTGAACTTTGAACTGATGAGACATAAACCTTTGACAAATCCTAAATACAATAAAAGGGTAGTCTTTCTCCAAACCCTCATCCACAGAGACAGCCACATTTGATATTTTTTCTTGACTCTCTCCAGAAAAATCTATATATCAGTATAAATAAGTAACGTATAATTTTGGGGGGGATAATAAAGTTAGGGACATATGTTTTTTGCACTTTATGTTTTATTTTTCCTACTTACCCATGTGTTGTAGATATATTTCTGAGTCAGCCCACAAAAACAAAGTCACTTTTGGAAGAGTTCATAGCACGCTCTTCTACTATGACTCACTTAACCAGCTGCCTGCTGAGAGGACACAGAGTAGCGCCCTGGGTTTTGCTATTACACATCACGGTAGAATGAACCTTCCTGCCGGTGCGTGTTTGCCCCGTGTCCAGGGGACTCATAAGGAGGTGCTGGGTCAAAGGGCATTTGCGTGTACAGTCCTGGTGCTGCACAGATCCAGCTGCCGTGCACGGCTCTCCGAGAGCCCAGCTCATTTGCTTTCATCGCGATCATTTCTCTATAATCTTATTTAACATTTTATTCTTTTCCATTTCACTTTATTTTCTTAAAGAAATTCTCCATGGCCCCATCTCGTCGGTAGTGTTCAGTCTCTTTTTGCTGCTCCTAACCTGGCTTTTATTGTTTGTACAATATGATGATTTGATACACATATATATTGCAAAGTGTCTATAGTGATAAGGTTCATCAACACATCCTCCACCTGCCATAATTACCACTTTGTTGTTGTTGTTGTTATGGTGAGAACATTTAATATCTATTCTTTCAGCAACTTCCAAGTACACAATACAGTATCGTTAGCTAGACTCACCACGCTGTACATTAGGGTCCCAGAGCTGGTTCATCTTATAACTGGAAGTTTGCACCCTGTGAGCACCTGCACCCATCTCTCCCACCAGTCTCTCCCACTCTCTGTTGTGATGAATTCTGTTTTTCTGGACTGCACATATAAGTGAGATCATAGAGTGTCATTTTCTGTCTGACTGATTTCACTTAGCACAATGCCCTTAAGCTTCACATAGCTTATGCCCTCACAGCTTCATCCACATTGTTGCAAATGGCAGGATATCCTTCTTTTTTAATGGCTAAATTATATATATCATATTATATGCATATACCACATTTTCTCTATCCATTCATCCATCAGTGGACACTTAGGTTGTTTCACACATCTATTATTCAGATTATTTCACACATCTATTATTCAGATTATTCACACATCTTGGTGTGAATAATGCTGCAATGAACATGGGGGTGCAGACATCTCTACTAGATAGTGACTTCCTTTCCTTCAGACAAATACCCAGAAGTGGATTGCTGGAGCATATTTTTCACTTTTTGAAGAATCTCCATACTGTTTTTCATAGTAGTTGCTCCGAATTACATTCCCACCAACAGGGCATGAGCTTCCCTTTTCTCCACACCCTCTCAAAAACTTGTTATCTCTTGTCTTTTTGTCAGCAGCCATTCTAGTGTGAGGTGATATCTCATTGTGGCTGTCATTTGCATTTCCCTGATAATCAGTGATGTCGAGTACTTTTACATGTACCTCTTGGCCATTTATGTGTCTTCTTTGGAAAAATGTCTATTCAGGTCCCTTAGCCATTTTTTAATCAGATTATTATTTTTTTTAATATTGAGTTGTATGAGTTCCCTATATATTTTGGATATTTACTCCTTATCAGGTATGTGACATGTAAATATCTTCTCCCATTCCACAGGCTGCTTTTTCATTGTGTTGATTGTTGCTTTTACCATGCAGATACTTATTAGTTGGATGTCATCCCACTTGTTGGTTTCTGCTTCATTGCTTGTGTTTTTGGTGTTATACAAAAACTCATTGCCAAGACCCATGTCAAGGAGCTTTCTCCATATGTTTTGTTCTAAGAGTTTCATGGTTTCAGGTCTTACATTTAGTCTTTAAACCATTTTTAGTTAATTTTTGTGTATTGTAAGAAAGGTGTCCAATTTCATTCTTTTGCATGTGGATGTCCAGTTTTTCCAACACCATTTATTGAAGACTATCCTTTCCACATTGAGTATTGTTGGCTCCCTTTTCAAATATTAGTTGACCGTATTTGCACAAGTTTACTTCTGGACCCTTGATTCCGTTTCATTGGTCTATGTGTCTATTTTTTATGCCAGTACCATACTGTTTTGATTACTATAGTTTTATAATATAGCTTGAAACAGAAAGGATGATGCCTCCAGCTTTGTTCTTTCTCAAGATTGCTTTGGCTATTCTGGGTCTTTTGTGGTTCCATATGAATTTTAGGATTGCTTTTTCTATTTTGTAAAAACTGCCCTTGGAATTCTGATGCAGATTTGCATTAAATCTATAGATGGCTTTGCGTAGTACGGACATTTTAACAATATTAACTCTTCCAATCCATGAACACTGGTTATCTTTCCATTTATTTGTGTCTTCCTCAATTTCTTTCATCAATGGCTTATAGTTTTTCAGTGTATAGATCTTTCACTTCCTTGGTTAGAGTTATTACTAAATATTTTACTGTTTTGATGCTATTGTAAATGGGATTGTTTTCTTTATTTCTTTTCAGATAATTCATTGTTACTGTATAGAAATACAACCGATATTTGTATGTTGATTTTGTACCTTGCTACTTTACTGAATTCGTTGATTAATTCTAACAGTTTTTTGATGGAGTCTTTAGGGTTTTCTATGTGTAAGATCATGCCATCTGCAAATAGAGACAATTTTGCGTCTACATTTTAGGTACGGATGCCTTTTATTTCTTTTTCTTGCCTAACCGCTCTGGCTAGGACTTCCAGTACTTACATCGAATAGGAGTAGTATCAGTCAGTCACCCTTTTCTTATTCCTGATCTTAGAGGAAAAGCTTTCAACCTTTCTCCACTGAGTTTAATGTTAGCTGTGGTCTTGTCATTGTGGCCTTTATTGTGTTGAGGCATAGTCCTTCTATGCTTATTTTGTTAAGACTATCATGGAAGGACGTTGAATTTTGTCAAGTGCTTTTTCTGCATCTATTGAGATGATCATATGATTTTTATCTTTCATTCTATTAATGTGGTGTATCACATTTATTGATTTGTGTATGTTCAACCATCCTTGCACTTGATCATGGAGCATGATCCTTTTGACGTGTTGTTGAATTTGGTTTGCTAGTATTTTATTGAGGATTTTTGCATCAATGTTCATCAGGGATATTGGCCTGTAGTTTTTTTTTTTTTTCCTGTATTATCCTTATCGTGCTTTGGTATCAGGGTAATACTTGCATTGTAAAATGAGTTTGAGAGTGTTCCCTCCTCTTCAATTTTTTGGAAGAGTTTGAAGAGGGTTGGTGTTGATTCTCTCTATGTTTGGTAGAATTCCCCTGTGAATTCTGTTGTGTCTGTCCAGTCTAAAGTATACTTCAAGACCAATGTTTCCGTATTGATTTTCTGTCTGGATGACCTATCCATTGTTAAAAGTGGGGTATGAAGAGCCCTGCTATTATGGTCTAATTTCTCCCTTCAGATCTGTTAGTATTTGCTTAATACATTTAGGCTCTCCAATGTTGAGTGCATACAAATTTATAATTGTTCTAGCCTCTTCATGAATTGACCTCTTTGTCATCATATGATGATGTTCTTTGTCTTTTGTTACAGTTTTTGACTGAAAGTCTGTTTTGTTTGATATAAATACACCTACTTCTGCTACCTTTTGGCTTCCATTATCATGGAATATCTTCTTCCATCCCTTCTTTGAGTTTATGTGTGTCCTTAAAGCTGAAGTGAGCCTCTTGTAGACAGCATATATAGTTGGGTCTTGTTTTTAAAACCCATTCAGCCACTCTATGCTTTTTGATGGACAACTTAATATATTTACAATCATAGCAATCATTGACGGTAAGTTCTTACTAATGCCATCTTATTGTTTCCTGTCTGTTTTGTAGTTCCTTTGTTCCTCCTTCCTCTCTTGCTGTCTTCCTTTGTGATTTGATGATTTTCCATAGTGGGATACTTTCATTCTCTTCTCTTTGTCTTGTGTGTATCTGCTGGAGGCTTTTGCTCTGTGGTTACTCTGAGACTCACATACAACATTTTACGAATATAAGGCTCTATATTAAGGTGATAACAACTTAACTTCAATTGTATACAAACACTCTACCCTCTTACTCCTCTCCTAACATTTTATGTTTTTGACATCACAATTTACATCTTTTTATATTGTGTGTCCATTAACAAATTATTGTAGCTATAGGTATTTTTAGTACTTCTGTCCTTTAACCTTTAAGTGATTCACATACCACCATATGACAGTATTGGGGTGTTCCGAATTTGACTATAAACTTATCTTTGCCAATGTGTGGTATATTTTCATATCTTTTTATGTTACTCCTTAGTGTCCTTTCATTTCAGCTTGAAGAACTCCTTCCAGAATTTCTTGTAAGGAAGGTCTAGTGGTGATGAATTCCACCAGCTTTTGTTTATCTGGGAAAGTCTTTATGTCATCTCACTTCTGAAGGACAGCCCTGCCACATAAAGTATTCTTGGTTGGCAATTTTTTCCTTTCAGCACTTTGAATATTTCATCCTACCATCTCCTGATCTGTGAGGTTTCTGCTGAGAAATCTGCTGATGGCCTTATGGGCCTTCCCTTGTAAGTGACAAGCTTCTTTTCTGTTGCTGCTTTTAAGATTGTCTCTTGGTCTGATTTTTGACAGTTTTATTATAACGTGTCTTGGAGAAGATCCACGGGAATTGAGTTTATTTGGGGACCTACGAGCTTCGTGAACTTGGATGTCCGAATCTCTCCCCAGATTTGAAAAGCCTCAGCCATTATTTCTTTAAAGAACCTTCTGCCAATTTCTCCATCTCTTCTTCTGGGACTCAAATAATTTGTAGATGGTTTCTATTATTGGTGTCCCAAAAGCCCTGTAAGTTTTCTTCATTCTTTTTCTTTTGGCTCCTCTGACTGGATAAATTTCAAATGATCTGTCTTCAAGTCCACTAATGCTTCCTTACGCTTGGTCCACTCTGCTGTTGAAGCTCTCTCGAATTCTTCCGTGCAATCATTGTATTCTCCAGCTCCAAAATTTCTGTTTGCTCCGTTCTTATGTTATCTATCCCTTCACTGAACTTCTCATTTTGTTCTGGTATTACTTTCCTGATTTTGTTAAATTGTTTATCTGTATTCATTGGTAACTCTGAGCATTTTTGAAACAATTATTTTGAATTTTTTGTGAGACAATTTGTGTACCTCCATTTCTTTGTGCACAGTTACTGGAAGTTTACTGCATTCCTTTGATGGTGTCATGCTTCCACGATTTTTTGTGATTCCTTGTAGCCTTACATGGTCACCTGCACATTTGAAGAAGCAGTCACCTCTTCCAAGCTTGACGGATTGACTTTGGTAAAGAAAGACTTTCGCTGGTAGGTATGGACATGCTGGAGCATGCTCTGACCCTGGGTCTAGTGGTGCAGGGTGCCAAGTGTGGGGCTACGTGATGGCTCCAGGTCCAGGGGGGTGCATGATGTCTCATTGGCTTAGGTCTCTGGGGTCCAGAACAATGACAATTGCATGATCCTTGGTGATAGCTGTGGGGGGTCTGCAGTGGCTTCAATGGTTGTTGGAATCCTCAGCAGTGCCACCAGGGCCAGTAGTTAGGGACCAGGCAGGTGGTAGTTGTGGCCAGAGCCAGTGGTAGCTGTAGGGCCTGACTGCAGGTGTGCATGTAGTGACAGGGCCCAGCTGCAGACACACATGTAGTGGCAAGCGCCACGCCCAGCAGTAGGGGCTGGGGCCATCTGTGGTCACCCTAGCAGCTGCAGGGTCCCTGGCTGTTGACATCCACTCCCACTGCAGTGGAGGCTGGTGATGAGAGTCAGGTCAGCAGAATGTAGGTGCACAGCTGCTAGTGAGCCCAGTGGTGCAGACCAGTGACAAGGGACAAGGTCAGATACAAGCCCATATGAGCCATAGGGGACTTGGCTGTCAGCGTGAACTCCTGCGGCTGTAGGGGCTCCTCCCAGGTACATGCACAGCAGTGGGGGCCAGAGGTGGGAGTTGGGCTGGAGGTATACAGGTGCACAGCTGCAGGAGACAGCCACAGGTGTGTGCACATAGTGGTGGGGGTCATCCATGGGGGTATGGACTGTCGTCTTGCATGCATGCATGCAGCCACAGTGGCAGAGGCTGGCTGCTGGTGTAGATCCTGCACTCTGGCGGGTGAGTGGGTGGAAGGGAGCAAAGAAGGACTTAGGCAGCTGGCATCTGTCAATGTGAAAACCTGAGGAGAGAAAACCTCAGCAGTGAAATCTGTGGGATTCTGCAGAGGCCGTGCTGGCATTGGTTTCTTCAGCAGGTCAAGCTGCTGGGGGCCTCTGCAGAGCAGTCTGCTGGGGTCCACAATGAAATCCTCAGTGATGAGAGCTGGGGGCTCTGCGGCACCTGCAAGGGCTGTTGAAGTCCTTAGCAGTGAAGGCTGCTGGGGTGGTCTGCAGAGCAGCTCACCGGGGACCACGGTCGTTCCCGCTATGTGGCTGATGGTGGCAGCCCCGTGCCCTTCTTCCTTGTTCCTAGCTGTCTCCAGACATCTCAGCTTTGCTGGTCTCTGGATAGGGTAAAACTGAAGTGGGTCCTTCATGCAGTGCCCTGAAAGGCTGGGGCAGCTGGTTGCTCACCACTCTCCCTTTCCTGGCACGGGGAGCTTTTTCTAGCTGGGTGGTTCTTGCCTGGTGCTGAGTAATGCTGGCCTGGGGATGGGATGATGCAGGCAAAATGAAGCCATTTTCCTACCCTTTTTGTGCAGTTATTCTCCGTTTTTTTTGTCCCACTGTGTTGCTGAAGCTTCTTAAGTGGACTCCAGAGCTCTCCCCGAGCTGTTTCCCTCATGGCTAGCTGTCTAATTGTTGATTTTTGTTGGGGGATGGAGGCTTGGGTCTCCTACCCGGACACCTTGGTCCAGATTCTATGGCTTTTATTTCTATAGTGTCTTCTATATTTTCTTCCTCTTCTTCACTGATTTTTAGAAATTCACTGGTTTACTTTTCAATGGCATGTTGTTTAACATCTGCGGCAGTTTTAAAAACTGGCCCTCGCATTCTTTGACACTTCTCTTCGCAAGGGTGGGGTCTGTCCTCCTCCTCTCTTGAATCTGGGTGGGCTGTGGCTGCTCTGACCAATAGACTGAGGTCGACGGGACTCTGAGCCAGTTTCTGGGCCCAGGTCTTAGAAGCCTGGCAGCCTCCACTTCCTGCCTCTTGGGTAACTTGCTGTCAGGACCCAGCTGCCAAGCTGTGAGGAAGCCCAGCGGCACATGCAGAGACCACAAGCAGGTGTGTTATTGTTTAATGGGTCAGCCCAGTGGAGGTTCCAGATGAAGCCCATGTCAAATCAGTCACTAGTTCTGTGAGTGAGCAGAGTGGAAATGGATCCTCCCACCTCCTTGGACCACCCCCAAGACATTGTGTGGAGCAGCAATGCACCATCCCCCTGAGCCCCACCCACAGTGCAGAACTGTGCGTAAATAAACGTGTTGTGTTGTTTTAACCCACTAAGTTTTGGGACAATTTGTTATTTCAAGCTCTCCATCTTCTCTCTGAGTGCTTGTTTTAGATAGTCTATATTTTCTGCTCTCTTCAGTTATCATGATAAAGTGCATCTTCCAAAGCATCTCTAACTTTAAAACCTACTTCTTTTTCTGGTGTCTACCTGTGGTTCATTCTAGGCTATTGTCTCCTTTGCTCCACTTCCCAGCGTCTCTGTAAAGGGCTCACCTGATGCTCTTCTAATGATGGCTCATCTCTGAAGGGGCTCTACTCCCAGGCCAGCTTCTCCATGAGGAATGGAGTGAAAAGGAGCTATGATGGAAGCTCTGCTCCTGTCATTTGTCCTTCATGCTGACCCTTAACTGACCAAGATCCACTGTCCCCTACCACCTGCCATATCCATGCCTGCCTCTCAGAGAAAGGGTGAGTGGGTGGGTGTGGTCACTTAGGTGTGCGTCTCCAGCCACTCCAGGGGGTGGAACTCAGGGCAATCCCACAGCCCCCACCTGCCATTCACAGGAGATCTTCAACGTATGTCATCTATTTCTGAGAACGCTGGATGTTCCCAGAGAACTGAAGAGTTCTTGGCACCCTGTTCTTGGCACCCTCTTCCGCTATCTGGGTCCCACTCTCATTACATTTTCCAACTGACCAACATAGACCCTACATACACACTGTGACTGAGTTCCCCTGAGGATGGGGCTTTCTTATTGTTTTGCCTTTTTTAGTTGCTGTGAGTTCATTTGAGGGTTCAGAGAAGGGTTCTGAGACATCCTGCAAGAGTCAAGCTGTTGAATCCATATTTTCCAAAGCAGTTTAACGAAGGAACTCCTTTCTTTTATTGAAATAAATCATCAACGAATGCCTTGATTCCCTATTGTTCCAAGGAACATAGCTTGAAAGGTACTATTCTGAGTAAATCCCAAGTTGAGATATATTAGAGTATTTCCATTTTTTTTAACAACAGAGTCAAAGTTTAACAAGAACATTTTTACATAGTTATTTTTAAATAGGGAAATTCCTTCTTAAAACTCTACCATAATAAAATAAAGCAAACACACATTTGCATTTCAGGTTTTTACTACCTGCTGCTCTGGTATTGGTTAAAGTGTTCCTACCTTGTAGTAGCTTTCATCAGCACGAAGTGCTTTGGAAAGTCCAAAATCACTGATCTTGGCATAATGTTGAGTAACCAGCAATACATTTCTTGCAGCCAGATCTCTGTGCACAAAATTGGACTCCTCCAAATATTTCATTCCCATAGAAACCTGATGAACCAGCTCGATGATGTTCTTATCCTTGACATGCCTGAAAGTCGCAAATGTGTCATTAGTGACAGCGGACAACAGTCCATTTCAGAACAACCAAATGTTCTCCTCACACAGTCAGAAGATGATCCCTCTCATTTCTTATTCTTCTTAAGAAAGAGTCATGAGTGGTGACAAATAACCTCATTAACCAAAGTTGTTCAAAACTGAACACCATTCTCCTGGTGTTCAGCTGGTTTGATTTTCAAGGTGTGCTTTGAATTGCATAAAAGGCATTCTAACGGGGTGGTCAGACCCAGCTCATGGAGAGCCAGGCTTCAGCTGGAATCCTTGTTCCAATATGGACAGGCAAGAAAGCCACCTCCAAGTCTCAGTTTCTCACCTGTGAAGTGGGTCTACCAACAGCTCCCTTCTATGAAGGCTAAAGACACAACCTAAGTAAAGTACAAATGTAATGTAGAAAATGGGATGAGCCATCAGTGGCTACTGTGATGACTTAGTCTACATGACTTCCCCCCTCTCGGCAATGGCTATCAACGAGCACAGCATGATTACTCCATCGGTGGTTGCAATCAGTCAATAGCAATGGACATTTTCAGAATTAATCATGGGAATGTAGATATCAGCCAGACGTGGAAGACAGCACTGCTACCCCTTATAAAATGTTTATTTAAATATTTCTTTAAAAAGAGTGTGTGCTGCCTAGTGAGGGGAGATTACTTGCCAAGACATTCTAAGACTGATTCTCTCATCAAGCCAACACAGAGTGAGCGAAGGAGAACAAAGACCAAATTGTTAGATTACAGTTTTTCTTTGCACAATAAGAGCTAAACGAACACTTGATCTGAAGACTAACTACAGCTCCCTTCCCGCGTCTCTCAAGGTCCCTGAGTGTGAACAAACACTGCAAAGGCGTGGGAGGAGAGAAGGCTTCCCGGAGAAACCAGGTGGGCCCTGCCTCTCACAGCATAAGCTTCTGGGGCACCTAAAGATACCTGTTCTGCTGTAAATATTTATTGAGTGGACCCAGTTCCGCCATCTCCATGACCAGCATCCAGGACTCGGCTTCACAGATCCCGATCATACGCACGATGTAAGGATTGTCGAGTTGCTGCATGACATTGGCTTCTGCTAATAACTCATCTTTAAGAGCAGGGTCATTGGCCTCATTTTTCAGGATTTTCACAGCCACTGTTTTCACGACCCTGCAAAAGAAATCATAACACATAAGAAACTTTTCAAAGTGGCTCATTCTACATAATCACCTTCGTTGAAGCAGAAGTTCTATGCTAGAAGCGGTGTTATGGAAATACCAGCAACAGAATGGAAACGCATCTGAAGAAGCCATGTTACAAATGACTAGTTTTCCAACCACATTCTTTCATTTTATAGGCAAAGAGAGTAACACCTTACTAGTTAAAAATAGTGGGGGAGTGCTAAATAATGTCCCCTCTAAACCGAAAGCCCACATATTGTAGAATATTTAAATAATTTCCAAATAAACCCTTAAAAACTATGACATACATGGATTCCTGTAACATCTTGAGATTTACCATCTTAGATTATGTGTAGTGTATATGAATATAAAAATTGCTTTAATATATGTTAAAAATGAATTTCTGGATGCAGAATTAAAAAGCAGACACTGTTAAAGCTCATAGTTTACAAAATACTTTTTAAAATTGAGCTTTGTTAATTTTAAGCAAGCCTCACAAGTTTACAAAAAATTAATTATTTTTCACTTTCTAATAAAAACATCCCACAGGTCATGCTTGAACTCTTGAAAATCTTCTAATATAGTGGGGCTTAAATAAATGAATGGAACTCAGCTCTACATGATTTGAAAAGCTGCATCTCTCTGTGATACAGGTCCCACGAATGCAGGAAGTCTGCCTCTTTTGTTGAACTCCAAAACAGGAGAATAAAAACAGAACTATCCAATAAAATAGGTAAAATAAGAGAATAACAGAGTAAGTCTACCATACATTCAGAAAAGCACAGACAACTTCAGTGTTGAACTCAACGAGTATTTACACGTTGGACGCACGTTGCAGTTCCTACACAGATGGAGGCACGGAACATCACCAGCACCCAAGGAGCCCCCTCATCCTCCTCCCAAGATCATGGAAAGTATCCTCCTGTGCTATCCATAGACAGTTCACTGTTTTCACACTTCAGTCTACCATCCATCTGAAACTGGTTTTGTGTATGGTAGGAGGTAGGGGTCAAAATTAACAAGCAAAAACCTCTTGATTCTTCCCAGTGTTCAAGGAAGAAATAATACCCACAAACTCTTCCAGAAAGGAAACTAGGAAGGAAAGTTCCCAACTGATTTTATGAGGCCAGCATTACCCTGATGCCACAACCAGACAAAGAAATCACAAGAAAATAATTTACTGATATCCCTCGGGAACACAGATGCAAACATTCTAAGAGAAGTACAAGCAAGTTAAATTCAGTGATTTATGAAAAAGATATAAAGATTATACAATTCAAGAATGAGATGGATTTATTCCGGGAATTCAAGATGGGTTTAACCTTTGGAAATCAATCAGTGTCATTCACCACATAAACAGAACAAAGGAGAAAAACCACACAGTCATCTGAGCAAAGACAAAACGTATTCAATAAAATGTGATACACTTTCATGATTAAACACAAATCTCTCAGAAAAATAAGAATAGAAGGAAACTTCCTTAATCTGATAACGAGAAGCCACAAACCCGATGGTGAAGTATTGCAAGTTTCCCCTGAAATCAAGAATGAGGGGCGAGGCTGCTGGCACTTTTATTCAACATCGAATGACTTTCCAGCTAACACAGTAAGGTCCAGAAGAAGCATTAAAAGTATAAGGATTAGATAGGATGAAATAAAACATTATGTAAATGTGTTACTCACAATTGACACAGTTCCAGGTCAAGGAACACATAGATAAACTACTGGAAACAATCAGTGAGAAATAACAGGTGCATTCAGCAAGCTTGCTCGGATCAGATCAACAGACAAAGCCAGTTATATTTCTGCATTCAAGCCACACCAGGGATTAGCAAATAAAATTTAAAAATTATACCATATATATCAACATCAAAAGTACCAAATACCTACGAATGAATCTAACAAAAAGCGTTGTGCAAGACCTCTCGCCGAAAACTAAACAACTCTGCTGGGAGAAAATAAAGGCGACCCAAGTAAATGGAGGATGGGTCGTGTTTACTGATTGGAAGACTCAGTATTGCAAAGACATCATTCTGCCCCAAACTGACCTATAGGACCTCTCCTCTCCCCAAATCCTCTAGATGAAATTATGCATCTAGAGTCATGCCTGTATTACCTTACATATTTAATTAAGCAAGGAATTTAAGTATCAAACTAGTTGAGAAAATTTATGCCTTAATACAGGATAATTTATATAGATTTTACAAAATGACTATGATATACATGCATATATTTTAAAATAAGCATATCAGTCAATTATATACATATACATATATACACACACCCACCCACATATACACACCCACACATATGGAAGAGGCAGGATTGGAAGCAAGAGTTTCTGTGCATTTTTGTCTATACTCTTGACCTTTGAATCAGGTAAATTGGCAATTCAAGGAAAAAAAATGTACAGAAATTCCTCAAATTTAAAATAACATCAAACAACTAAACCTAACTAACTACATTCACATCAGCAACATACTAATTCAAACATATATTCAAAGAAAGGGTTTGTTTCAAAGGACTTTCAAAACCAGCATTTTTACTAAACATTCTCTGTGAGATGCCTTCTAAAGACCAAATGAAGTACAAAGAGATTTTAGTAACTTAGCTATTCTAATTGTTGTATAATATGTATTGTTAGTCGAAATTATAGGATAAAGCAAATAAATAATTACACTTATTATATACAATGATATTTGTAATCAGGAATTTTCTGGGTAAGAGAAATAAGACACAAAAAAATCAAACAAAGTAAGTGAAAACATTGTGTTGTTATCATTGAATACTTGCATTTTAATTAAATAATTCATACGTGTATGTGTGTGCATATAAAGACCCAAAAATATATACACTCAGGTTAGTAACCGTAGTGGTATTTGAGTGGTACAAATATGAGGTTTTTATTTTCTTACATTTTGCTTGTTTCTATTTTTTAATTCTCTGTAAGGCACACATACTACATCTAAACTTATATAATTATTATATACATAGTTAATATATATAATGGATGCTTTCATTGGAATTGTACCAGAAATGAAAAAAACTATACTGTTAATAAAAAAAGAGTGAGTCACGCAAAGTTACATTTTATGTTTGAGATTAAATGAACACAGCATATGTACCACAGATCCCCCACGACTTACGATGGGGCGCATCCCGATAAACTCATCATAAGTTGAAAATATCCTAAGTTGAAAATGCATGTAATACACCTCACCTACCCAACATCCTAGCTTAGCCTCACCTACCTTAAACATGCTCAGAACACTTACATGAGCCTAGAGTTTGGCAAAAATCATCTCGCACAAAGCCTGTTTTATAATAAAGTGTTGGATGTCTCACGCAATGTATTGAACACCGTGCGGAAAGTGAACAACAGGACGGTGCCCAGTGTATGGGTTGTTCTCCCTACTGATCGCGTGGCTGATGGACAGCGGCACCCGCTGCCCTGCCCAGCATCACGAGAGAGGATCACACTGCATATCAGCAGCCCCGGAAAAGACAAAAATTCAAAATTCGAAGGATGGTATCTACTGAATGTGTATAACTTTTGCACCATCATAAAGTCAATAAACTGTAAGTTGAACCATCATGAGTTGGGGACCATCTCTACACACAGTAGTTTCTAGAATGTGAGCTCACATGAGAGCAGTGTGGTGTGACGGTGCAAAGCCTTGACTTACTTTTTCATCTGGTAGTAACCCTTCTTCACGGTCCCAAAGTTACCAGAGCCCAGCTCGTTGTCCTCCAGGGTCAGCAGGTTTCGATCCAGGTAGACCTCCTTGGGCCTGATCTCCTCCGGGTCCGCATAGGGGCTTTCGTACACTTCGGTGTCCATGGGCATGGCTTCTCTCTGGGCATCTGCAGTGCAGTCAAGGAACACACAACCCTGGGTTGGATCTCTTGTGAACATCCCATCATCTCCAGCTCCGACCTCCCGTGGTCATACCTCCCCTTTCAAGGCCGTGGCAGTTATGGTGCCAGCGAGTTCTCTGGGCACGGTCTGTCCCAGCTCGCAGGGGACAGCAAAAAGCCTCTCATCCCCGTTGTACTGGACCTGTTCTTGTGCTGATCTGCATTGAGGAAGGGTCTTTCACGCCAGAGGCGAAGGCGGATGGGGCCCTCCTAAGGGCTGTGATGGCTTTAAACTATGAAAATTCTGACACTCCTTCCATTGAGAGACAGTCTATGTCACCTCCTCTCCGTGGCCTTTGTAACCATGTCAACTAATAGAGTATATCAGAAGCGACTTTGGGACATCCTCAGGCGAGGTTATAAAAGGCCAGGCACCTCCTGCCTCGTTGGCAGGAACCCCAGCTCTTGAAGCTCCAGACACCATGCAAGGTGTCCGACCGCCCTGACACCTGCCATGCTGTGAGAAAGCCCCAGCCAGCCTCCACAGACGCGAAGAGGCCAGAGGACCCGGAGACTAAGTGGAGACAGGAGCAGCTGGCCAGCCCCCGGTGCCCAGCCTCACCACGGCCTCCACCCCAGCTGGCCCAGCTCCAGCCCCAATCTGTTTACGAGAAGCCCCCAGCCACAACCACCCAGCAGAGCCTGGCTCAAACTCCTGACTTGCCAAGATAATTAAACGAGACAATTAAATGATTGTTACTGGTGAAAGCCAATAAGTTTTGAAGTGGTTTTTGTAGCAACAAACAGACCAAGTTCACCAATGAAAAAATAACCTGGGGCCACAGAGAGAACCCGAGGTCATCCTGAGGCCCCATTTCTGAGAACCTTGAGGGGGCATCTTCCCATAGGAAATCCTCTCATGGCCTCGCAGAATCAGTACAATTCCCTAGACACGTCTAGATTCCAGCAACTCAGGCCTTCCTTCAGTTTTTACCAGCCATCCATGACTGCGCCTTCTGCTAAACTTATTAGTGGACACATTTTTCCAAGAACACGATCTTCCTAGAAATGGAAACCTTGAGTGGCATCAGCATGGTAAGAGCTGAGAAATCCTGCAGCAGCACTGGAGAGCATTCTCAGTGCAGCCAAACTACGCTGAGAGGGGCTGCACAGACCGCTTCACCCAACAGAACACCACTGTTCATGAACCTGTGACCCTGCCGCCCGCCACCAGACAATAGTGTCACGTATCGCCAGCATCGCTATGCCGCAGCAGCCGACGTGGGTGACCTGGCAAGCCAACTCTACAGTTCCTGAGCACTGCGGGAAGCGTTTCCGCGCCACAAACTTCCAGTGACGAGAAGAGCATCTCTCACCTCTTTCGGTGGCCGAGGTCCCTCGGTCTAGCTCATAAGGGTTGGACGTCGCAGAACTCTCGGGGTGGTTCCCTTGGGAAGAGGAGCTCTGAAGCATACAAATGATAACAGGTCACTTTTCCTGTTGTGGAATTGATCTGTGCAATTATTTTTATTCTCAAGTAATCACATTTAAACTTATGCATGGAAGACGAAGGAAAGAATTAGGAAGAGAGACAGGAAAAAAACACATGGCTTATCTCATTCTTCGGGCAACTGCTTGGTTCCTGTGAGGGCTAAAGAAGGCTCAAGCTCTGACAACTGGAGGGGCCTGCCAGGGTCTCGGAGGGGCTGCGAGAGAACGCACAGCATGTGTTCAGGTAGAATTACCTCCCTATCTACAGGGCCTTGCAAAGCATACCTCCACCCACCAAAGGATGCTCAGGATTTTCATTATCCCCTTAGGTTCAAGTTCCTCCCTTAACTCTTTCTCTTCCATTTTATCTTATATAAAAGCTATTTTAAAAGAAACATTAACTATCCACCAGCTGCCTCCACCTATCCCCCAATGCCAAAGCGTCTATGCTTTCCTGGTCTCTGCCTGTGTCTTTCTCTTCGCTGGACGTCCAGCAACATGTGAGCAGATGCCAGAGGGCAGCACTGGCCAGGGAGTGAGAGGTCCCTGGAGGAAGGCAGCTGCCACCAGCCCAGGCCCAGTGCTGCTGCCGCTGCTAATAACGACAATAACTGTCATCATTGTCATGGGCCCCATGAGTTGGGGAGGACCTGTTTGCTAACTTTAAGGAAGATTATTCTGCCTTGTATCCAGAGCAGGTAAGTGAAGTATGTCGAAACAAAGCTTCACCGGCCATCATTAACGGCTACCTTCCCTGTTAACTATTTGATATACATCAATTTGCATCATAAAATAATGGGGAGAATTCTACTCCTTATATTCTTAAAACCTTTCCTTTTTGAAAGTCGCTATCTTGAATCTTCCTGACCCACCCTCACTCCCAACTTAAAACAGTCATTGCTACTAAATTTGGATCCTGGGAAAACCACAATTCAAACCATTCTTTCAGTGTGAGTTGAGTAGAAACGTTATATATCCATTTGCCTTCTCAGTGCCCAAACACTGGCCACGAAGAAATGAGATGCTGCCAGATTTTGGAGAAATATAGAGGAACAGAGACATTAAGCTTAATTTTACACAGCCACTCATCTTCCAGCCCACACTGAATCCTCGGCTGCCTTCCTGACCTCACAAGCCCGGGGACCACAAGCACAATCATGTAGTCACAGTGCGCCGCTTGACCACTCGTCTCCAAAACCTCAACTTCCTGCTTCAGGCTGTCTCCTGAGGCTGGAGAGCCACTGCACCCACTGGCAAAGGCCCATCGGACCAGGCCAAAGGACATCCTGCTTATGTGTCAATGGGATGTCGTCGGACCCATCCTCTCATGACAATCTCAGCATCCTTAGCGAACTGTTTAACAGAAGGAGCTATGGCACATCAAGCATGGAAACAGAATATACGTTCCAGGGCACAGTCCTTAATTCACCGCATTAGAGCTTTGCCAGGCCCACTGTTGGCACTCAATGAAAATGTGTCGAACAAACACATGATGAATGAAGGAAGGAAGGAAGGAAGGAATGGAGAACCTTCTTAAAACTGGGAGATGTGAAGTGTAAACTAGTGTGATTTAAAAATGAGTTCTCTCTCAAGTCTTTATACTAACAGAAGGAAACAGGTGTGGGCGATTCCCAGTGACACTGTACCTGTCTGAGCACCTTACGTCTGATGACAGGACTCCTGCCTGTGTGGTGAGTTCACTTCTCATTTGTCACGTAAGTACCCTGTCTCGACAGAAGTGTCCGAGGGGAAACTAGGCAACTCCCAGGGCTTTCCACCCTCCCCCTCTGCTCAGCACCCTTCTGCAATCGAACTCCAAGATGGAAAGAGTTTTTAAATTTAAAAAAAAGTCTCTCTTTTAGGTTCACATTTACTATCATTTCAACTTCTCTGACTTTTCCTGCAGGCAGGAAAGTCCCGCAATCCAAGGACAAAACTTGAAGACACGAGGACCAGCCATCCCAGACAAGGAGAGGGCACCAGCATGCCTCCTCTTGACCTCAAGACCTCCAGCCCTCTGCCCACTTCGGACCGTACCCCGGGGGCTGCAGCCTCTCCATGCTCTTGACTGTTCTCCAGAGCAGAGAGCTTCATAAAGGCTGTTATGGTGAAGCCTGAACGCAATGCTCACATACGAATCCTGTGGGGAGGAATTTTAAAACAGGGGTGGGGTAAAAATTCTGGAAAGGACATTCGGGCATCAGGAGCAAGAATTAGTGGTGATGGACAGAGGGAAACTAAAGCCCCAGACAGATTAATGCCCACTCTGATTGGCAGGTGCTGTGCACCCCTAGTCAGTCTTGTGGATAAAGAAAGGGGTCAGGGGTCTTCTTTGAAAGGTTCGGGCCCCAAGTTTTTGGCCGTGTCAGCTCAGGGCTTCATTTCAATGCAGCCCATGCAGCCCACCATGCAGTGACGGCCAAGCCCCATGTTTCAATAACCACGTCAGCTCCCCACCCAGACACCTTGGCCCTCCGCCCTCACTGGGATGGAGGATGTCACTACATTCGGGAGAATGTTCTTTGGAAGAAATCAGAGGTTTTCTGTTGTGTCACTTAAAGCACAGTGCAAATTTATGATGAGGATGAAGACACAAAACACAACTTTCATCCTTCCCAAAGCACTTGGTGGATATGCTGTTTAGTAGAACAACAAAGGCAACAGAACCTTCTAGAATCAAGTGCTCAGTTGAAAAGAAGAATGTTAGCGCTTGTAAAGAATATGCTCTGAGGCATAACGATAAATTATGAAATAGTGATTAGCATTTAACATGTCATGAAATTTCAATTTAATGAAAAACATGCTGCTGGTCCACCACATCGTTTGTCAATATTTCTTCTGCTTTGTAGGTGAGGACGCATTCTGCCCTACCCTCAGGATCGCCTTTTCTGCACAGAGAACAGGTGTAGTGAAAGGTGTGAATGAAAATGTGGACAGTTCTTTTTTCCCATTTTTGCTGACATTCAAAACAGAAGTCGTCAGACTGGCAGGCCACCACTAGATGGCACTAGCGACCTTAGCGTCCTGCCTTCCGAGGAGCAATTTGTGATTTTTCCTTAAGCTTTTTCAATTCAGGTAAAAACAGACCACTCCACAATAATGAAAAACAAACTACGTTGGGTTATAAATTATGATCCCTGATCTCTTATTGGCCAGGCTTAACTGCAAGTAGACAATGTATTTGACAAAGATTGTTTGAGTGCCTCTGTTTAAGAAGTGTAAAAGAATATGTATTGTCCTTGTGGGGCTGACGGGAAAGTTCCAGAGTTTCCTGACTTGGGAGTATTGCTGTGTGTCCTCGTGTCCATTTCTAGACCTTAAGTTTTAGACTTCTTGAAAGACATTTTCAAATCACGTAACAGCAGTATTAAAGATGACAACATACTTGTCACAATTGCAGTAACAAAAAGAGCCAGGAGGCTCCAGAACTATGGGCCGCCATAAACAGACAGCGTTCTGGTCTCTGGCGGAGTGACGGTGGTCTGATGGGGAACAAGGCTCCACGGCTGAGGGCAGACCCTCCTTGGCCAGGACGTGGGGTAATATCAGGTTTGCTTCAGATCCATGAAAATAGACACTCGACCTTCCCAATTGATCTTCCCTCACCTTAGAAGCAGAGATCTAAACTCTGGCCCTTTATAATGGCGTGGAAACACTTTCACAAGGGTCTGGCCCACTGCTTTGTCATTACCAAGTAAATGGGTAGGACTTGAGAACTTGTTCTTAGTTCTCTCTCCCAGCTGAACCCTAGTGAATTGTGTAGTTAAATATAAGTCTTGTAATATCCCAATCACCAAGGTATGTGTTGGAATAAAACATGGAAAATGGGTTTTGATTTGAAATTTTGGAACACATTTCCACAACTAAGCTAAACTTATGATGTGATGCTGTGTCTCATCTCAGACAATGTGCCTTTATTGATTTATTTACTTGTTTATTCATTTTTTGAGGAAGATTGGCCCTGAGCTAATATCCACTGCCAATCCTCCTCTTTTTTTCCTGAGGAAGACTGGCCCTGAGCTAAAGTCTGTGCCCATCTTCCTCTACTTGATACGTGGGACGCCTACCTGCAGCACGGCTTGCTAAGTGGTGCCATGTCTGCACCTGGGATCCCAACTGGTGAACCCTGGGGCAAAGCGGAACATGAGAACTTAATCGCTGTGCCACCAGGTAGGCCCAGACAACGTGCCTTTAAAATGTGAAAAGGAAATGCTGCCTTTGAGGACGCTGTTGTTCAAACTCTGCCAATTTTCCTTAACAGAAGGACAGGTTTATGTACTTAAAGCAGCACAGAAAACTATTCTAGTACTGTTAATAGGAGGTATTTTAGTCATTTAAGGAACAACCAGTCCTTAAGGTAAGTATATGGCAGGGGGCAGGGAGAGAGTGAACCACATCTGTATTCTTTAGTTAAATTCATTTATATTTTTAATTATTAAATGTTTCCAATCCCTAAAGAAAAGTTTAAAATACGCCAGCCCTTAAGTTATCATGAAATTTCAAATTATCTGATTAATAATCTCCAAATGAAAACATACTTTTTATTAACTACCTACATGTTAGAGTTAATTCAAGTTCTAACGTGTACTTTTTGTGCCCCAATTATTAAAAACAACTATTTACATTGATCAAATTAACAAATTCAAGAAAGTTATTTACACCTTAGCTAAACAGATGGAATATGTGACCTAATTCCCACAAGCCTTTTCTCATGACAGGTTAAATAATGGAAGATTCCACTTCAATTTGTGAAAACATGAAGATGAGTTCTCCTAGAATATTTCTGATGAGCAATTAAAATATATTTGATCCATAACTTAAATTACCCTATCCTTCTCTTTTATCAATTTACTATTGATATTTTGGCATCTATGAAAATTCAATGCACGCTTCACAGTTGTTATAAATTTAAACTGACAGTAGCTTTTTTTTGGCCAGAAAAGTACTTTCACAGTATTAATCAGATTAATTACTTTCTAATACATAATTCTCTTTTAAAAATTGATTAAATAATTTTAATGGGTGTAAATAGAAAAAGGCACAACAGGGTTTACAACGAAAAGTGGGTCTTCCTTGAACCCCTGTTTCTGACCCCCAAGGCAGCTAGTGTTATGGTACTTTCTGTCTTCTTCAAGAATATTCTATACTATATGAGCACATATATATGTGCGTGACTGCTGTTTGCAATTAACATTGTATTTTGGAAACAATTCTAGACCTCAGCTGCCTGCCATGGTATGAATTTTATTGTACCTGATTTCATTTATTTCCCATTGATGAACTTTTAAATTATTTCCAGACTTTGTCAATTACACAATGTTGGAATAAACACTTTCATGTATACATGATTACACATAAATGCAAAAATATCTGTATGATAAATATCTAGAAATAAAACTGCAGTTAAGAAGTCATATGCACTTTTAATTTTGCTGGATGTTGTGAAATTGCCCTTCTTAGGGATGGTGTCATGTCACACTTCTCCAACAAGGTGTGAAAGTGTTTATTGCCTGCACCCTTGCTGCACACTGTGTCACTGAGATTTTTTATTTGGATCAATTTCACAGGTGCATGGAACAGAGCACCATAGTTTTAACTTGCATTCCTCTTATTATAAAATGGAACAGTTTCTCCAATGTTTAAGAGCTATTTATATTTGCTTTACAATAAACTAACTACTGACATCCTCTACCCATTAGCCTGTTAGATAGTTAAAACTTTTCTTATTGATTTACAGAATCTCTTTATATATTAAAGACATTAACCTTATACGTGTATCACCCTTACTAATGCTTATTCCCAGTTTATTATTTCTCTTTTGATGATGTTTTGGTTCTTATTTATGCATATTTTTCTTTATCTTTAGGTAGTCTTCCTGATATTTTCTTCAACTTCTTTTAGACATGTTCTCTTTTAGTCTAAAGATCTACTAAACATATTTTCTGGATATTTCTTTAGTCACTGGGAGTGACCTGAGCTGGCTTTGGCCTGTGTGGGCCAATGATGGGGTGGGAATGGGGCTTGATGCTCACAATGCTGGGTTACTTTTCACTGGGCTGATGGCAAGTTGGTGTATCAACCTGGCTAACCTGAACTCCAGTCCTCCAGGATTGACTCAAACCATGACCCTCAGATCTGCTGTGACGGGATTTTGCAGATGTAATTAAAATCCCTAATTAGTTGATTTAAGTTAGGGAGATGATCCTGGGTGGGCCTGGCTTAATCAGTCAAGAGTCCTTACAGGAGCGTTGAGACTTTCCCAAGAGAGAAGAAAGGGGGGTCGGTGGGCACGACTGACCCCTGGCTGTGGATGACAGCTTCAGCCCGCCCGAAAGGTTCCATCCTGCTCCCGATTGTCCCTTCCTGATGGCCTGCCCTGCAGACATCGGACTTGTTTAGCCAGCCCCTGCAACTGTGGGCGGCAAGTCCTTGTGATAGATCCATATATGAACGTGTGTACAGACGTGTGTATGTATGAACATGTCTCTGCATGTGTGTGACAGATGTACCTATGTGCATGTTTTATATACAAATATATGTGTGTCTGTTTTATATACAAATCTCCGACTGCTCGCGCCCACCTGGTTGGGCCCTGAGTGATGCACTGGGAAACCACAGAATTAAGATAAACGTGGAACTCCGTGTCTCCTCTGTTTACAGTGAAACCGCTCATCTCTGGGAGTGCTCATGGGCTGGGAGCTATGTGTTGGCACACAGGCCTTGGGCCATCATAAATAGAATGATGAACGCACAAGCCGTGGGCACCGGGCATGTGGCCTTCATCCACAGGGGCTCCCCAATGGCTGCGAGGAGACCCTGTGAGTGGAGGGGCCAAGGAAGCCGGGCGTGTGAGGGGTCTTGGGCCTGCTGAAGGGGCACGTGCATGCTGTGTGGGCTGCCCTGAGTTGCTGTATGAAGCTTCGGCAGCACAGCATTGGGTTAAGGACTTCTGCTTCCCGTGTTCGACTGCCAAAGCATGGTGGTGAAGTCAGTGATGTGAACTGAATTTGTAACATAACCTTGAAAAGATGATGATTGAAAAGCTCCCTGAATCAGGATACTTTTTGAATCAGCTCAGTGGATGGAGCCCCGTCTGTCCTACTTCCCACTGGACTACAGTCCTGTGAGACGCCATGCTGGCAACCGAGCAGAGCCCTCGCCAAGGAGAAGGGCCAAATGCCCACAGGGTCCAGGGCCAGGTGGGCCAGAAGGTGGCAGCTGTGGAGAGCTTTGCCTTGGATCATGGGGAACGTTGACCTCTGCAAGGCCAACGCCGCAATCACCTACTGGCCCTGGTGGCTGGAAACAAACACCAAGTCGTGGGACAGGAGGGATACCGACACAAAGAATGTATCACCTGGACAACAGGGCCCCCCTCAACATGCCACCCCCGGGCACAGGCAGCCCTCCCTGTCACCCCCTAAAAGGGATGCCTGACATTTCCCAAGAGCCGATCCATGCTGACTGGACAAGTGACGTGAAAACATAGTCACTCCTTCCAGGTTTTTCATGTAACTGCCCTTCAAACATCATGTTAAACTCACTTCTCTGCTCCGTGGCCAACGAGACTGAGAGTGTCCGGAGCACAGCTTGACCACTTGGAAAATTTTTAATAAATAAAATCTCAGGGCTTTTAGGCTTTTTTATTTCTGCTGTTTCTAAGAGGGACATCAGGCAACCTGCTTCAAGAGTTGATGCCCAATTATTGCTGAAATGCTTGGAAAAATACCAACTGACACGAAAATGGAGAGAATTAATAACAAAAGAATCAATTTTATACCACCAATAATAAGAGTAGCAAGGAAAAAGGCAATCCATACACATGTTATATATATATTTTGCTATATATATATATGTGCATAGTAAAATGTAAAAGTGTGTCATATGTCAACCTGACTGCCTCAGAAAGAAAAAAAGGCGTTTCTAAGCCTCAAAGTCCACCTCATCTTTATACAAGTTCTATTTCAGGTTCTGTGCTGGAAATCTACAGCCACGAGGCAGTGACTGCGGCACTTGAGAGCTATAAACTAAGCAGCCTCAGGCACTCACTGTGCGGTGCCACAAACTCTGGCGTTCCTTTCATCCACACATAAATGAAATAGTCAGTGACCATGACACTGCCACCTGTGATCCCGGCAACTCAAAAGTACCTTGGCTCCCCTAGAAAAGATTTTCTGATATGACCATTGGCTCCCACCTGTCATGCTGACCGAAATGACTTTGAAGCGCACATTTTAGCAGAGCGAGCCGGCTCACGGTGATGGACTTTGCAGCAAAGTGACTGGGACCCACATGGAAAGCACAGTGAGTACCGGCGTGGGCTGCCCGTGAGGGCCACCCCGCGGCCAGGAGGCACGAGACCAGAGCAGGGCACACGCAGGGCAGCCGGGCGGAGCGTGGTGCTGAGCGCGCGTCAGTCCTACCACTCAGTCAGGGACAGCAAGCAGGGGACGCGTTAGCACCTTTCTGTGGCCAGGCTTTGGGAAGGAGTATGATTTGATTCTTGAGATTATTCCACCCGCTGACCAAGTCTAGAAACCATAATGGCAAAGAGGAACAGTAAATGTTTCAGAAAACAAACACGGGCTCGCTTACGCAACACGCGATTGTGACTTGCCTTACAATCACATTGCCACCCTCCAGATGCTGCCCAGGCCCTTCACTACGGGCAGCATGAGATCATTAGGGATGCTTCAGAAAAGCCCGCCACCTGAGCAGAAGGATCTGGAGAAATATTTTACAATATTTTCCACGGAAGGCTATACAATTAGTGCTGTTATGTTAAATAGCCCACGTTTCATATAGAATGACTAGGTCACAGACTCAAGACAATAACTGGTCTAAAGAAACTAAAAGGAAATCTGATGCTCGATTTTCTTACTTCTTTGGCTGTTTGTGGGAATTCACTGAATT